GTTAGGAGGGTAGGGGGCAGGGGTGGGTTGGGCTGGTGGTGGTGGGGCTAGGTAGTGGGGTAAGTCGGGGGGGTAGGGGGTGGGCTAGTGGGTGGGGATTTGGGTTATGGTGGCAGGGGGTGGGCTGGTGGTGGTGTGGCTGGGTAGGGGGGTAGTCAGGGGGTGGGGTGGGCGTTGGTGTGGTGGGTAAGGGGGTAGTCTGGTGGCGCTGGTGTGGGTGTGAGTGGGGGTGGTTTGGGCAGGTGGGGTGGGGGCTTTTTTTTTATTTTTTTTATTTATTTTTCCGACGGAAAATTCCGTCGGACCATCTCCCCCACCGACGGAAATTTCCATCGAAACCTTGCGACGGATTTTCATTGAAAGTCAACAAAAGCGCCGACAGAACAAAATCCGTCGGAAAGGTCTATTCCGTCGGAAATGACGGAATTTCAGGGTTTTTCGACGGATTTTTTTCGTCGTTGATTGACTGTTTTCTAGTAGTGGTTGTCCTTAAGGACTTGTGATGGTTTACCCCCACTTTGTGGGGGGATCGGCTGTTTGTCAGCCGACTGCTTCCTGGTAGATCTAGGCGTACTCACAGCAGTCGTCTTCCGAACTTTTGAGTCCGGTTGTTGGGAGGAAGAGGGTTTGGATGTGCCCGCCTACGAAAAATATGAAGTGGTCAATACTAATAATAGCAGGCTTTCAAGACAAAGTTTGAAGGCGCATAACTCACTTGGTGCCCATCCTTAGCGGAATCAGTGGAGGTCCGCTTCTGGTGCATAATGGAGGTCCGCAACAAGGCGGCCGCCTTCTTGGACGCAGAGATGTGGTCCATAGCTTCAACTGAAAATAAGCACTACAAAGAGTTAGAAAAAATTTAAAAGCAAAATCAATGATGCATATAGAGGCTCAAGAGGCCAGCTACCTCTGGAGGTCCGACTGCTAAGGCCACAAGCGGCTAAAAATACTCATCATAGAGCCATTGAAATTTAGGGACGCAGTTTAAGGGAACCTGCTCTCGTACCCCATTAGTAGAGTTTGACCTTATCTCTACTTTGAAGAGTCCTCGGTCAAGGATCTCTTCCCTAGCCCTGCGAGGGACGAGCGGCATGCTACAGCCACTTGCTAGAAGAGGCGGATCCTTGTTCCACCTATTGTAGCGCTTGTTCAGCAGCTTGTCATGACTGAAAATGATGAGGAAGGTGTTTCTCCAATCCTTCCATTTATTTTCCTTCCCCCTCGTCATCAAATAGCCCTTGTGGCACGATATTTGGTACCAGCCGGTACCGCTTGCTTTGGGGGTTCGGCTAAGATAATTCATATGGGTGAACGCCTCAAAATTCGGCTCCACCCCATGCATTTCACATCCGGCTACATAGTCAAGGATGTTGAACCAGGAATTCGGGGCTAACTGCCATAGCCCCACCTCGTATCCATCGAGGATTTGTTGAACAGCCGGATGCAAGGGAAATCAAAAACCAGCCTTAATGGCCGCCTCGTAGCAGCCAAAACAGGCATCCCTGTAGCTAGTCCCCGCGGGCCAGACGACTGTATCCTCAGCATCCGGCACAAATAATTGAAAATCAGGACCCATCACATGGTCCGATAGAAAAGAGTTTATTCGTTCTTTCATGGCCTTGATTCTGCCCTTTGGGACATGACAGTAGTAAGGAGTATTCAACTCCCTATGGGAGGCGGATGGTTCCGACCAGTCGTCCCCCTTATCAGTCGCATGAGAAAGTCTCGCCTCTTACAAACGAGAATGCCTTTCCTCTGAGGCGGCTTGAAGAGCTAAAGACATACTCGCTATCAGAAGAGTCCGACTCCTCCCCTCTCTCTGAGGGGGCCGACCCTTCTTCTTCTTCAGGGGCCGATTGCTGACCAGCCAAGTCAACTGTGAAATGGGAAGGAGCCACCTTGGCCCTCTCCTCAGAGCTCTCAGCAGCAGAGCCACCTCAAGTCCCTGCGGTATCAGGCGGCTGGTCCGACAGCTCACTAATTTGAACCCGGAAAAAGGAGCCATCAGAGCTTTCAATCCTCTTTGTTCTTTTTGTTCTTGCCATACTGTCCTGCATAGATACAAAGACAGTTGGATTCCGGGACTTGCGCAAATTTTGAAGTACCGCAGGGCAGTCGGCACCCCTAGTCCTAGACTCAGCCGTCCCCGATGACCGGCTGATTGCTAACCTAGGTCGTGCCGGATGCTTTTTAGGTCTCATTTCAAAAAGAAAGAAAAAGTGCAAAAGTAAAGCAAAAAGGATAAAGGAACAGACGGTTACCTGAAACTTAAGTTCTGACAGAAAGCTTGATCGAACAGGCGTCCAATAAAAACAGGCGGTTGGTAAAATCAGTCGTCCAGAAAATCAGAGCTCAAGTTCAGGGGTCCGAGAAGTTCTCTTGAAAAGTTCGCAAATGTGAACAAAAAACTTGGTCAACATGCCCTTATATAGCGCAAAAGGAGAATACGAAGGGTCGCTTCCAATTCAAAAACTGAGCGGGAAAAACGCTCGGCCCATTATAGGGCAACACCTGTAGCAGGTCGTCACCTGTTACAGGCCGACACCTGTCACATGTGACATGTGACCAGTCACGTGCCACCTGTGAGGGGCAAATGATTAGGGGATTTTCCCCTTCCAGTCATCATCTGACAAGTGGACCATTCAGGTCTTGCCATGTGTCCGCCACATGGACCAGTTGGAGCCTGTCATGTGTCGGGTACTAATCAGTCCACCTTGGACCAGCAGTGCCACGCAACATGGCCTCCCCTATGCCAAATGGGCAAAACGGCCACCTAGGCCAAGTCTTCGGAAGAAGCCCAATCAGCCCTAGGTTGACCTAAACCTAGGACTAGCACGCTTCCCAAGGCTATAAATACACTAATTAATCCTCATTAAAGAGGGTTAAGCAATTAATTACACTCACCTAGAGAACCTAAACACCTAGATCACTCCTCACCTAGGGGAACCTGATCTTTCAACCTTTACTTTTCCGCACTATTCACTCCTCAACAAGTACTAACTTGATCGTCGGAGGCGGAACTCCCACCACAAGGAGTCTCCGTTGTTTTGTAGGTACAGGCGCAAGGATACCAGTCCCGGAATTGTAACTCTCCCGCAGGACATCAGAAAACCCCGAAACACACTCCATATGATATCGTATGTCTAAATATCCTACATTATCAGAACGAATTATTTGATCGTATTTAACATTCAAGTAAAAATGTTATCTTAAAATTTTATCAACCATCTGGGCATCGCCCGGGCACAAAAGTAGTCACTAATAAATAAAGTCGGTCTCGCAGCTAGGTCATGAGACCTCAACACTTGGCATTCTAGTTTTTCGCCAAGTGTCCCGCCACGTAGACGATAAATGGGTAATTGTGACACATATGATGCTAAGTAAGCAAAGTTTGGATAGATTTTTTAAAGATAAAAATGTTATGTAGAGTTATATTATCAATATACTTCTAATATTTCATACATACAAAATTAATCATAACTTTTAATAAATATCGTATAATTTGGTATTATTTCCATCATAAAATTCGTTTTAAAAAGTTCTTTAAAATAAGATCTATTTATAATATATTTAGTTTATTTATAAAAATAATAGAGAATCAGTAAAAATAAATTTTAATCATGAAAAGTAATTTTTGTTTTGGTAAAAATACTTTTAGTTCAATAAAAATAATTTCATTTCAATAAAATATATTTCAATTCAGTATGTCTAAATATCCTGCATTATCAAAAGGGATTATATGATCGTATTTAACATTCAATCCAAAAAGTTTATCCTAAACTTTTATCAACCATCTGGATATCGTCCGGGCACAAAAAAGCGATTTTTGGATAGATTTTTAAGATAAAAATGTTGTATAAAGTTTTATTATCGATATACTTCTAATATTTCATATATACAAAATTAATCATAACTTTAAACAAATATCCTATAACCGAATTTTATTTACATCATAAAATTCATTTCAAAAAATTCTTTAAACTAAGATCCATTTATAATATATTTAATTTAGTAAAAAAAATAGACAATCAGTAAAACTAAGTTTCAATTAGTAAAAATAATTTTAGTTTGGTAAAAATACTTTCAGTTCAGTAAAAATAATTTAAGTTAAATTACAATAATTTCAAGTCAATAATAACATAGATATCTATTTACAAACAAAACTACAACATATACATAATATTCTATAAATAAGCGATAGGACATCGTATGTCTAAATATCCTACATTATCAAAAGAGATTACATGACCGTAGTAATATATATTCAAGCCAAAAAGTTTATCCTAAAATTTTATCAACATTCCGGGCATCGCCCGAGCACAAAATTGGGTATTATTGTGACACATATGATGCTAAAAATCGAATTTTGGATAGATTTTTGAAGACGAAAATGTTGTATAGAGTTTTATTATCGATACACTACTAATATTTCATATATAGAAAATTAATCATAACTTTTAATAAAAATCTAATAACTCGGTTCTATTTTCATCATAAAATTTATTTTAAAAAGTTCTTTAAAGTAAGATCCATTTATAATATATTCAAAATAATAGAGAATTAGTAAAAATAAGTTTTAATCGGTAAAAATACTTTCAGTTTAGTATAAATAATTTAAGTATGATATCGCATGTCTAAATATATATCCTGCATTATCAAAAGTGATTATATGACCGTATTTAACATTCAAGCCAAAAGGTTTACCCTAATATTTAATAAACAACCTGGGCATCGCCCGGGGCACAAAACTAGTATATATATAAAGGGGAGTTTTTTTCGAGTTTTTCGAGCGCCACCTAGGATTTTATTTTTAAAAAAAAATTTGCCACTTAGGATTAATATTTTTAAACGCTACAATCAAATTATGCCACGTAAGGTTAAGTTTTTTAAAGTGCTACGTTACTACGTAGTATTATGCATCGCACGGCCTTCATCTAATTTTTCCTAAAATTTAGATGGATAGAACATGATATTAGTTATTGAATTCGTCTATCCAAAACCCGACCCGCTTAGTCAGCACACGACACACATCGATTTTCGGAGGTTTCGTCTCTCTAGTCTCTAGCTCTATTACCTGCTGATTGATTATGGCTATCAAAGCAAACTGAGTTCTACTACGAATTTTTCCAGAGACTTCTCCATCAAATCAAAGTCGCTCTTCAATCCAAGATTATCTCTGTAAGTTTAATTCTTCGTTATTTCGAATGAATCCATTTTTAAGGAGAAATATTTGCTATTTTCTTAAGAATAAATTCATTAATAATGAAGCTTTTAGCTTGAAATCCTTGCACAATGCGAAAATCCCAAATCCGAGAAATACACAGTTCGGAAAATCTCCAGTTTTTGATTCTAGGGTTTGTGGGGTTTATTGGGTTCGTTCATTTTCGACGCAATCTAATGATAAACTTCCTGAATATGAAATGCCGTCTGTTACTTGGGGAGTTGTTCAAGGTCGCAAAGAAAGGCTTGTTTCAAAAGTTATTATATGTGATTATTTAAAGACTTTGGGGGTTATTACTGATGAATTAGAGGATATTGAGTTGCCCTCTACTGTTGATGTTATGAGGGAAAGAGTGGAGTTTTTGCAGAAGTTAGGGTTGAGTATCGACGATATTAATGAGTACCCGTTGATGCTCGGTTGTAGTGTTCGAAAGAATATGATCCCGGTGTTGGGGTATTTGGAAAAGATTGGGATACCTAGGGGGAAATTAGGGGAGTTTGTGAAGAATTACCCACAAGTTTTACATGCTAGTGTGGTGGTTGAACTTGTTCCGGTGATTAGGTTCCTTCGCGGGCTTGATGCTGATAAAGAAGATATTGGATATGTGTTGCAAAAGTATCCTGAATTGTTGGGGTTTAAGCTTGAAGGTACGATGAGTACATCGGTGGCGTATCTTGTTAGTATTGGGGTGAACCCTAGAGATATTGGGCCAATGGTGACACAATATCCGTATCTTTTGGGGATGAGAGTAGGAACGATGATTAAACCACTTGTTGAGTACTTGGTTTCATTGGGTTTGCCAAAGAAGATATTGGCACGAATGTTTGAGAAGCGGCCATATGTTATTGGTTATGATTTGCAAGAAACTGTGACACCTAATGTTGAATGTTTGATCAGCTTTGGCATAAGTAGGGAAAAAATTCCTTTGATTATAGCACAATACCCACTGATTCTTGGGTTGCCTTTGAAGGCAAAAATGTCAAGCCAGCAGTACTTTTTCAATTTGAAGCTCAAGATTCATCCGGAAGGTTTTGCACAAATTGTCGAGAGAATGCCTCAGATAGTTAGCCTTAATCAGCATGTTATTATGAAACCTGTTGAGTTTCTTATAGCACGGGGTATACCTGCTGAGGATGTGGCTGAGATGCTTGTGAGATGTCCACAAGTAGTGGCTATGCCACTTATGATCATGAAGAATAGTTTTTACTTCTTCAAGAGTGAAATGGGTCGTCCTATAAAAGAGCTAGTCGAGTTTCCAGAGTACTTTACTTATAGCTTGGAATCCCGAATTAAACCTAGATATCAGAGATTACAAAGTAAAGGGATCAGGTGTTCCTTGGCATGGTTTCTCAATTGCAGTGAGAAAAGGTTTGAAGAAAGACTTCAGGCTGATTATTTTGAAGCTGAGAGCTCTGGCCCCACATTCAACATGGGTGGGAAGTTAGAACTGCCAGGAAGTTATAATGTAACAGATGAAGAAGATGAAAGTGAGGATGAAGTGCTCTATAGGCGCACTGTTTCTCTGTAGTTTTGTTTGTGTTGCATAACTATGTACCAAATATGACAAAGATTTAATGAAAGTCAAACTTTATTCATTTTCCCTATAGCTTCATTTTATTTTTTTTTGGCCTTTCTTCACAATGCATTATGGTATTCTCGAAACTAAGCTTTATAAGGATTTTTTGTTTTTTTAGATCTCTGTAGTTGTCGTCAGAAACAGAGATTAGTCTGTTGTTTGGACAATGAAATTATTAATTATGTGCTAAAAAAAAAATAAGAAAGAAAGAAAAACCAGTTTAGTTAGATGTATACAAATGTCGCCTATTTGTCTAGAGGTGTACATATTACATAACTTAAAATGCATAGGTAGAGTGTCACATTATGCATGTGCTAGTGGCAAAAAATCTATTGATTTGTATGGCTGTGAGCCTGTATGGTTGTGTTATGTGAACTTGTAGCACACTGTATGACTGAATGAAGCAGGTGGATGATTTGGGGATGGGGATAATGATGGCCTAGAATTGTTTGATTCATGTTACATCTTATTGGTAGCCCTTTATCAATGTGATCTATCATTCTTGCCCTAGTTCTACTGACTTTGCTGTTGTTGAAATGTGTAGATTGTTGATGCATCTTGGTATTTTACAACTCATTAAGCATGTTTTCCCCTTTTTCTTTTTGAGGCTGCTGTGGTGTTTTTTTATTTTATGTGTTTGTTTTCCTTGGAAGTATGTTTTTTGAGATTTCTACCTGTCTTTTTTGAGCTAGGTGGGATAGGCTGTGTGTTGAGAGTAGGCATTGGGCAACTGGTCAGGGGAAATAGTTGGTTTTGGTTCTCAACTAGTCAACTTGCTATGGATAGCAAGCTTTGCATGGAATTGTGAAAGTTATTTTTGTCAGTGCTGTAATAGTGTAACAAGCTCCAGAGTCATCTCACTGGCAACAGTGTGTCATGTCTATTTTCTACAAGATAAGTTGAGATTAAATTGATCTAAGGAATCTTGTACAAGCTTACTACTTCAATACCAGTGGGAGTCATATTAAGCTAGATGGTAACATTTACGTTTTTATTAGCTGTGACATACTTTTTTAAAAATATATTTTTATGCACTTTGGGAAGGAAAAGTGACTGGTTTTGTCTATTTTTCATGTTGAATTATTGACAGTATGAGGTGCGGTTATGCATCGTTTATTACAGTGCTCAGGAGTTTGACAAGATAATTTGTGCCTTATCTGCCAACAGGGCTGCGCTGTTGCGCTGCATTGATATTTATTAGCAGCCAATTCTGCAGTAGCCTAACATTATTTTGCTGCAAAAATGCAAAACCATTTTCACTATCTTGGCCATGTATGTCTTGGGAAGGCTGATATGATTTTTGTTTAGAATTTATCGTCACGTTCCCCCCATCCTCCTCTGTAGAGGACTCTGGAGGGGGAGATCGATAGTGTGGAATGAAATAGCTGTCTACAGTGGAAAAGACTTTATATCAGCTTTTCATATAAACTTCGCTACCTTTGTCTAGAAGTAAAGAGAGGAGGGGTCCGTTAGACATACGGAGCAAATGGACCCAATCAAATCTGCAAGTGTGACGTGCTGGTAAGTGAAGTTGAGTATGATTTTGCCTTTTATAATCTGCCTATATTTGGTTGTATGTGTTGCCAATATCGCTTTGAAATATGTTGCTTATATCTAATAACTAACTAATTGCTACTTTCTTCGCACAGGGTATTGTTGAGGGGTTAGCTGAGCCATGGTTTATAACTTGCAGCTTTGTGTTTTTAGGTAATATTGTGACACTCAAGTTCTACATTTGTAGAGTGCAACTTTCAATTGTTAACTATCATGACTTCATGTTTTTCCTGCGTGCAATATCAATATTAACAGCTTATTTCTTCTCTTTATATCAACTCAACAATGCCGGGTAGAATTTGATAAATCTCATATTAGAATGAAAGAAGAGGAAATGCCAAGTGGAATAATGAAATAAAGAAAGATGTAATAGTCAATAGGAGGATATGATACTTCTTTTGGTTCTCATCCTTACTACTCCATTGCGCTACAACTCTTTTTTTCCCCCTCTGTTTCTGTTTTGAAAATATATTGAAAGTGCTAAACCTTTCTAATAATGGTGTGACTGCAACTGTCAACTGGGGCTATAATTTTGATGCTTCTTTGATGGTATTGAAGCATTCTCATATTTTCTTTCCAGATTAGAGATTACCCTGTTGAGATATTACTGTAGATTTTTTTTATACGTCTGGTGTTGAAGTGAACAGAAAATTCACACATGACATGACAGTATTTTCAGTGCCACAGCATTGAATATTTTTCTTTTCCTTTTGGTTGAGCTTCCAGTTTATATACATTAATAGGGTCATCCGTAAGCCTATCTTGCTCTACTGCCTGCAAACTAAACATAACGATTTGTATGTAAGTCATCACTTATTGTACTTTGGATTATATCATTTGCCTCTTTGAAAGCATCTTTTTTCTGTTATCCTCCTCTACACATCATTTAAACTTCTTGACTGGTTTCTTCTACACGGGCTTATCAATATGATCATGCTTTCCATGTCTCGCTGATTATTTTGTCTTGATGGTAATTCCTCAAGCTAATGACTCTAAATTATTGAATATTATACCTATAGGGACTGCTTGTAATCATATCACCCTCAGTGTGTTGGAAAGGATGATTCACCTCTGGACTGTGACGAGAGTTTCAGATGTGGTAAAGAACTTTTTCTTTACTCTGTCTCAGTGAGATGAAAAATCTTTTCTATCTTTCCATGTATTGTGTGACAAGACACTTCACACATCTTCAGTTGCTGAGTGAAATTTGCATAAACTACGTTTTTGGATAGACAAAACAAATTTATTCGAGTTTGATTAATTTGTGATGTTACATCCTGCTACAACCTTGGTATATATTTTTAGGAATACAGTTAAATGTGAAAATAATACTCCTTCCATTTCATATATGGAGGTTAAATGTCTAACATGAATCAATCATATCATAGCCTTGGGTTCATATTATAAATACTTTCATAGTGTGCTTTTGTTGTTATTTTATTTATTACCAACCTCAAAGAGTGTCAGTAAGTTCAAAGGGTTTGAAAGAAAATTAGAGGGGAGAAATGCTTAGACATCTGGGAAACTAATTTTTTGACTAACCTGTCATATACTGTATAAGTGATTTATAATGGATGGGCTATGTTAGGAGAGATTCATACTCCTAAGTCCTAACCCAAGCCCTTAGAAGTTTGTTATTTGGTTTAATACTAGGTAGGTAAGGAAGAACATGTTTTTTGGTTGTAACATTTAGCCTTTGTAGGTTATTTGGGTCCAACATACTCTTTCTTATCCTTATCGTTATTGGCTGGGAATCAAATGAGTGTTTTATTTCTTGAAGGTTTTCAAGGATCTTACATTTTCAAAGAGAGTTTCTATTTTGGAGAAAGTCAATATTCTTACTTTATAGGTTCAGGGGCCATAAAAGACATTATATCCTAATTTAGGCTTACCGTACTTACTTTTGGGTGGCAAGAAGTCACTCGTTCTTGCATATGTTAGGCATTACCGGTGGGCGAAGGGAGTATTTAATCTATGAGGTTGAGGAGGTGAAGTGGGTTAAAAAAAGGAAGTATATGTGTTCCCTTGGCTAATCAGAAGATTATTCCTCATCTCCAAGCCAACTCTCTATTTAAGTGATGTTTGTTAAAGACGAACTTTGATAATTCTCATAACCTTTATTCTAAGGACTCATGGTTCTCTTTCTGATGTATATATGTTTTGTAATAGGAAAATAGAGAAGTAAATGGAACCTCTCTAGCAATAAGACCACCTTTGAACTTCACAAAAACCTTCATTTTAAAACTTTAAGTGACCCAAAGAAGGTCTTCTGTTGCAAAAACAGTAGACAGGTTCCATTAATGGCCAGGAGTTGACAAACACAAAGTTTGAAGGGAAGGGAGTGGAGAGACATATAAAATTAACATGTGGCCCTCCTTTTTGGTAGGTTGGTGAGAGAATTGTGGGTTATCATGGTGCTCTCTGTTGATCTTTTGGTGCACAAAAATGAAGCTCTTCACATAATAAAGGATAGATTAAGGAAGCTTAGTAAAAGTGGTGCTTCCAAAAAGGCTTAGACAAAGCTTTACTATATTTGTGTTGTCCTACATGATCTCAATGTAAGCATTCCAAACTATTTTTTCACTTACGTCTTTCTTCTTTCCTGTTTGTCTTTTTCAATAGAATGCACAATTATCTTGAACAAAAATGAGAAATACTGAGGAGTAAAATAGGTTATCAACAGAATAGAGAGTAGAAAAATAACATTTAAAACCCTATTAGAATCTGTTTAAGGGTCGCAATAGAATAATCACTTTTAAGATGATGACTTTCACAGTTAATTCTCAAACAGTCAGATTCAAGGGTGTTATGAATCTGCTACTTGTATTTTTCTGAGTCATTCATATTTTACTACATTGAGGGTTTTCAGAATTGTTTGTTATACATCTGTGTTTTTCCATGATTTTGATACGAAGTAAAATATATCTAGTGATGATACCCTACTTTATCAATTGGCATTTCTGTTTCAATTGTAAGAAAGCTGCAAAATTTCACTGCATTTGCTGTCTACTTGCTGTGTGGACAGTGTATGGGTGAAGTAGAATTCGATTTTGTCCGAGGCATCAAAGAATTCTGCTGCAATTGTCTATGTTTGCCTTGTCATGGGAGGGAAAAGAAGGATGTCAACTCAGATGGGGTAAGCTTGCTTTTTGTAGATACATACAGATTTTGTTTCTGAACCATTTTTATAAAATGAAGGGGTAATGTAAGATTTTCAGCATTTGACCCTCTCTTTTCTCTTATTAACTTTATAGTACAGCTAACTGTATGGATTATGGTCTGATTCTCTGGTATTCTATTCTCATCTACCTACATTTACTGTTACATAATCATATCTGCTGTCATCTGGATGATTATAGACAACTGTTTAATCAAAGTGTCTATGAGGGTCAACCAAGGCCATTATTTTACCATTCTATGTGCTATTTTGTCGTGAGTAGCAAGAATTATGCTACTATTTATGTT